ACACCTGCAAATTCTCCATTTCTCAAAGTTACAGTTTAGGGTGGTATAGCACTCCAGAGAACAAATTGAATTAGAGAATATGCAGGTGTCTGGAATTTGATAAACATGTTTTAAATGAAATCAACTGAATCAACAGAGTACGGGGACTATCCTTGGTGTAGAACTTGAAAATTTAGTGGAGGAGATGAGACTAAATGACCAAATCTGCTAAAAGACATGTTTTTGAAAGGCAATGTGGCTTGATGACGTCGGAAGGTGGTGATATTTTCCACTTTCAAATCTTGTTTTCTACAATTTTCCATCAGGAAAAAATTATAAAAAATACAGCGAAACTCGGAACTAAACAAGCGAAGCTAAACAACGAAACTTGAAACTAAACAAGCAAAACTAAACAACAATTTTGACTAATGGAAAAGATTTTTTTGCTTTCTAGGATTTGATAGCCAAAACTTAAAAAATTGACTCGTCATTGGAAAATGCGCGAACCCTACGTCGGTCCGAATAAAAAGAGAAAAATATCTGATATGGTCACCTTAAAACGGGTCTCACATCCGATTTTCGAGGCAGCTTCGTTATTAAGTTTTTCGGGCCGTTTTGCCATAGAAATCAACAATTACTGACCTCGACTTCGACACAAGATCTGCGTTGACAAATTCCACGATCGGCTCCAACAATGATGCTCCGAGGTTTCGTCACCCGATGTTCAATTGTTTACCTACTCTCGCGTAACCAGGAAATAAACCACTTTTATGGCCAAATGAAAACGAGACACGAGTGCTCTGTCCTCAGCTTGCGAATTTCGCTTCTTCACTTTTTTCCCCCATTCGAATACGAATCAAGCTTATGTGAAGTCTGAAATGTTTCATTTGAATACTGCCGTGCTAAGGAAGAACGCCGTATGAACCTTCAGGCGTTGCCAAATTTCCCTTGATAAAACACGAATTTCATAGTAAACTTGTGAATATTTTTTTCCCAATTTTTCAGAGAATTTCGCTCGCGATTTCACCGAAAATTCCTACAAATTTCAAGGGGAAATATTCATATCTCTCCTAAAAAATGACCATTTTATTGATGAAAATTTGGCAACTCTCGAATGTTCACACGGCGTTCTTCCTTAGCACGGCAGAACACAAGTCCTGAGTAAAATTTCGAGAGAGAAACACGACGCGACGGAGACGATGGACACTTCGGGTTTCATTAAAAACAACGACAAAGCTGTAAGTATAGTGTATACAGCTCTTAAAATTAGTTAAAATTGCACCGCGTTTTGCGGAAAGGAACCAAGCCACATAGACGATTCGAAAAGAAATTCAAGTGCCTAATATTCAAGGACTTGTGAGGGTGGCACGAACCCTGGCTTATTATAAACGAAGATGCCCTTCCAGCTACACTTCCTATCGGACTACGTTCAACAAACCAGATGCAGTAGACAGAGTTTAAGGTGATTCGATTAAAGTTCTTTAGAGAGAAAACATCGCATCCGATACTGATATCAAAACTGCACTCGAATGCGATATTTTCTCTCTAAAAAAACCACGCATTCATTCCATTGAATTTGTTTGTAAGAATTGGTAAGCGAGTGCTTTAGTCTCCTGACAACAGAATTGCGATCTCAAAATTTGAGAAAAATGATTAGTAGCTGAAAAAGTAGAGCCAATCGATGCGATGTATCGCACGTCGCCCTGACACAAAACATGGCGTCCACCAAAACACCTTAACAGAAATCTACTGGGTATTTAACAAAAAATGAGTTGAGAGTAGCTGTTGAATTCGACTGACTGGTCGTAAATTTTCTTCTGTCAAAAAGTTAAAATCGATAAAAAAATATTTTCAACTTGAAAACAATCCCTGAGCTATGTCCTTCACATCGAGCCGTAAGATTAAACCTCCGACCTCTTTTTCTCGATTCCACGTAGCTGCCTTCGAGTCCCCGAGGCAAACAGATGTTATTCACAAACGTAATCGTATACCTGCTTCGTTCCTGCTCAGCTCGCTCCAATTAATGTCGTTCTTGAGCTCGCGTTTAAATTTCATCCCCGAAAAGAAAATGAGGCTACGCGATACTGCTTGCGTTTCGGGGAACAGAGGCCGTCATCATTACCGCGGGAGCATGCTATTTTACGAGGGTCGGAGGAAAATTTCCCTTTCGGACAACGATTCCTGGTTAATTTTTAATGGCGGAGCGAGCCGTCGGGCTATCCTCTAGCGGCGCACAGTGGATCGAGTCGATGGGAGAAGTCGGACCAACTTTGGAAACTTTAAAAGCTTCCGTTGAATCAAAACTTTGATACTTTAAAAATGGTTCCATCGATTTCTTCGTGAACTTTTCTTTTGAAAGCACCCCTCAAAATTTAAAATTTGACGATTTAAACGTTTTTGTAGTGATAGTAAAAAAATTGTTGTCCGACCTCTCTGACTGACTCGATCCACTGTGCGGAGACTTGGAAAGTTGAAGAGGGAAAAACAATGCCTCTCCTACGTTTCCTATCTCGAAAGTCGAAAAAACTACCATTACGGCGCGCCGTTAAATGAAGGGTGAAAATTCAAAACCCGTTGTTCCTCCTCGTAAAATAATCAAAATATAGTTCTTTCATGCACTAATTGGGATATTTTCTCTACATTTTGGCCTTATTTTCATGATGGGAATTGTTGAAATTCTGAGGCCATTCGATACTCATTAATAAAATAGGTAGTTGTGCGACTTTAGCAACACCTGATGGTGCTTGTCAGCTTTCAATTCCAATTCTTAAACTGGATTAAATGACACAAAAGGGAGGTATAGTATCTACTTCTACATTGATTGAGAGTTTAGGGGAAGACAAAGGGGGGAAAAAGACCTACGTGCAAAGTTTAGGTATGCTAACGTAGGTTCTATGGGGAAAACCATGGCAGAAAACTCAAAAGGTAATTCGAAAAAGATGGACAAATCTCGATCTCTTGGTAAAAGTCCCTGGCTATTCGAGGCCAAAACTTTTCCCATCGGTATTTTTCGGGATTTTTTTTGTAGCGCTATATATAAAAGTATGAGGACGTGAACTTCGAAAATTTATTAGGTACTGAGAACTGAAAATTAAAAATATAACCTGCGGCTGAGTTGCCGAAAAAAAGAGACGAAAAAAAGAGTGGATAACTACTCTCTTTTCTACTTACTGATATCAGTGATTATTAGATTAATACAATTCCCAGGAAATCTGGTAGCCGGTACTAGATTTCCGACAGGACTTATCAAGCGGCTGGTAAACTTGATCAGATGCATGATTAAGACTTACGAAAATCTGGCACTATTAGAAGGCACATTACATCATGATCGCGAATCTGGTAACCATATACAATCTTTCGTATATTTGCAACAAAGTAGGACTGCCTGAGAGGCAAGCGAGAGTGATAATTACATTCGCTGAGCAGAAAGAGAGGAAGGCTCAGCAATAGTCTGTTCAAGGTCACTTAACATTCATTGCAGATCTTTATCTACTTGGGCCTACTTTTCCCTCTTTCCGATTTCCGAGTTAGAGTGAGAGCACCGAATTCTTGATGTAAAAAAAGCAATGACCTACATGTTGTCATTTCCTATCTTCCATATCGCTGGCACGTACAGTTGCATACATAATATACTAGTTAGTATTAACTCTAATTACTTCGTTGGGATAATTCCATCGCAGTCACGAAAGTGCCTTTTCAGCGGATGAATTTCATCCTGACTAACAGTTCTCATTGTTAGATTTTAGGAACCCCAGGGTGTCTAAAACAGGCTGGTCAAAAATAAGTACTCTTACAGTATTTTTTCAGTACATTCTCACGAAATTCAGTACCTCCTCCAACAGAAATATTCCGTACTTTTTCAGTAGGTACCTCCATTTGACGAAATTCGAAAAATTTCAAAAATTTAAAATTGCGACAAAAATGACAAAAAATTTAAAGAATTCCGGACCTTTTAGCGTAATTTCCGCTTTTTTTTCAGTACTTCCGCACTGTCCTTAAAAAATCAGTACTATTTCCGGACTTTCCGGACTTGTAGACACCCTTGAACCCAGTTTATTTATTTTAGGGTGGAACCCGGAGGGAGAGGGAGGGGCACATTCCCTCCCTAAAGCTTGTTCTGAATAAATTATTCTTCAAAATTTAGTCATTCAGTCAAATTTAGCCACATCTGGTAGCAGTAGCACGGAACGGAGATGCAATCAAGAATCAAGGCTTCACCGATTTATCCACTTAGGTACCAGCATCGTGTGAAATGTCGAAGGATAAATGGATTGACTATAGGAAGACTAGGAGGGGGACTATACATCGATTGTTCGAGGGAACAGTTCCATAATTCAAACAAAATGAGTTAATATCAACATTTTGAGGGCCCTATGAATTCATCTTGGTAGAACTTTTAGGAGGGGTGCAGTCGTGTTTCATCCCCTGAAAAATTATCCGAAACATGATAAATCATTGTTTTGCTGCGACTCGCTCCAGCCCAATTTGCCACTCGAATTGAGTGGCACCCCTGATCCTCCCCTTCCCTCCTATTCCAAGATGAAATGGATAAAATTACAGAATCGGAAACTTTGCATGCTACGTGCAGTCAAGTACGGATACTAAATGTATTTCATTATAACGCCTGTGTGCAACTATTCGGGCCCCATGGATGTCCGTGTTCCATTTAGTGGGTACAGAACACAACAGCGTGCTCTACCCCCACATAACCGGGTTTTTCCATCTTGCAGCGGTCGAGTCGGTTAAGGGTTGCTTTGGTGGCTCTTCACCAGCTGATGGCCGTTGCCGTCCCGGTATTTGGTGGGCCCCTTTCATGGAGGGCGTTTTGGCAACCCTCATGATGGGGGCACTGTAGCAGATTTTTCCCCTCATCCAAAAAAAAAAAATTAGATTACTTTTAACAAGTCAACGCCATCTTGCCTCCTGCAGAGACACCCTTCTTTTCAAGGATATACCAAAGAGCATACACCTATCGGAAAAAGAAAAAAGTAAATTCCAACAGAGAAATAAAATTCACTCACCTCCTCAACTGTTAACGGCAACGTGACTCGGCTGAAACAAGTAATAATTTGATATTAATTTTTAGTGCACTGAAAAGAAGGAAGTTGGAACTCAAAAAAACATCCACACGTTTGCCTGGGGGCAAACTGACTGTAATTTCAAAACCTTCAAGGAAATTGACAATATTTTGTGTATATGACAAGTAGGTAAGTGTCCTAAGATCTTCTAATGAAAATTGTTACTTCTACAGGACACCCTGATCAGCGCGAGTGAGTGGTCCGAAAAGTAATTCCTTGTCGCGGAATATACGAGGCTAAGAGCCACTATCAAAATAGGGAATATCGATTGATTTAAACTCAGAAGGTGCATTTATGTATAGTCGCTTTACCATAGGATAGGACAAGATAAAATTACCGATTACAATGATTTAGAAAAGAATAATTGATTGCAACGGTCATCTACAGGGTAGGGATATTATACTACTACAAGATTTTAGATCCTTTCTGCAAGGAAAGGTTTACCGTTGTGGAGCTAAAATGCCGGCCGCCTGTGGAGTAGTGATAGTAACGGTGGACTTATGACCAGGAGGTACAAGGTTTGATTCCCAGACAAGCGACCTGAGTCTGATAGTCTCAGGTAATGGTCACCTGGAGCTAGGGTATTAAGCGTGGGATTAGCCAATAGGCTATTTGAAACTTGGTTAAACAAAAAAACATTAGGGGAAGTCCCGACTTAAGTAAATAGACATTATCTAGGGATTGTTCTTTGACTCGTCTATAAAAAATATAATGTCCCTTAATCTGCTGAGAATAATATTAAAATTGATGGGATGAAAAAAAAATCAATGATGGACCAGGCATTTTGTTTACAAACTACTTGCGCAGCGCCCAATTGTAGCACTTCATAATGATGGCGCTAAGGGTATCTGCTACATTGTTACCTCTGTAAAAGCCGATAGACTATCAATGCAAGTGCTACTTCCAACTTTATTGAAACGAAAATAGAAATTCTCATGAGTGCGAGGGCAGAAAAGGTTCTACTTTTGATGTGCTGGAGAAGTACTTGTACTTGGGGCAGGTCCATTATCTCATATTGGTTGAGAACCTAACCTCTCAACTGATAAGGAATCACTTCTCATACACAAGTAAACACCTGCGAAAGTAAAATTCATGCGAGAAATTTGTCCGTGTCTTTCGCGATTACTTTCTGTGCATGGTGATACGAAGGAAAATCTAACAATTTCAGAGGATGCGAGTCATACTTCAGGCTTATTTATCCTGCACAAGACTCATGGTCACGAAGGGGTGGAGAGGCTCCAGTTTTAGTGGAAACTTTTGGGAACGAGAGGAAAGTGTGGATGCAATAAAGGGAGACACAAGCTGGAATTTGAAGGAAAGAAAAATAGTTTGAAAGGTAAAAAGGAAACCGGGTTACAGTAGGATGTTTGAAAAGCCTTGACACAAGTCGAAAATGAGTGTTTTGGCCAAGGCTAGGCGGACACATTTCTCGTGGAGGAAACGGGTGCGGAGGATAGCTAAACAACACAAGGGTGATGAATGAATGCTAATAGATGTTACTCACTATTCTTTAATCAACATGTTTCCGAATTGAGAAAATCCACTACGCTATCAGCACTAAATTCACACAAATCGCTGACGAGTACTCAGAGAACTCGATATCAGTCATCGAGTGTCAAGTCACACCACTACACTGACAGAGCGGCGCCACACGCAAACTCCAACTTATCAGCTTCGGCCAAACTGGAACGCGCGCTGTACTCTATGGCGCTGCTTTGCCTCTCAAGCGCAGGTAAAGCACAGCGGCCAAGTATCAAAGCGGGCAACTTTGTATTCTCAATTTCGCGCACCCGTGTGACGTCATATTCTGCCTTTCTTTGAAATTTTTCCGAATTAATTTGAAATTTTTAAAGTTAGTTGAAAATTATTCAACCGTAAAGTTTTGGATGCTTTTGCCCGCCCACACACACTTACACCCACAAACCAACAATACCTAGGTCAAGGCTCAGGGCTCAGGGTCTCCCAGACTGCACCGCATTACTTATTCCTGACTGACGTTGCACAGGGAACATCAGCATCTCAAATTTTCGTAGAATAAAATTTCATGAATTTTTAAAATTAATATTCAGGTTATTAGAATTACTCACTAAAAAAAAACGAATAAGAATCAATTAAAACAGGATGACCAAGAAGAAAAATGATCACGAGCCAAGATTCGTTAGGTATAATATTCGATGGATGCATTTTGTAATGCATTTTGAAAATTTTGTAGACTAAAAAATTTAAACCAAAATCAAAGGCTTAATAGCCTAAATAATATTTTAAAAATATTTTTGCTGCTCTACTCCTGAAAATTTTCGCATCACTGAAAAAAAAAATTATTTCGCATCTCTTATCGTCTGAACCTATGCGGTTCAGATGGAGATAATTTCTTAAAATGTATAACTCCAANGTATAATATTCGATGGATGCATTTTGTAATGCATTTTGAAAATTTTGTAGACTAAAAAATTTAAACCAAAATCAAAGGCTTAATAGCCTAAATAATATTTTAAAAATATTTTTGCTGCTCTACTCCTGAAAATTTTCGCATCACTGAAAAAAAAAATTATTTCGCATCTCTTATCGTCTGAACCTATGCGGTTCAGATGGAGATAATTTCTTAAAATGTATATTACTGTGAGATTCCAAGAAATTTCGAAAAAAAATCTCTTATAATTTTCATGACGACATCTTCGGTATTTTCTGAGCACCGGTATTCACAGGGCATCGCAGGTAAATTTGCGTGCGACTTAAACTCTCCGAGTGTGATTCAGGGCCGGATTAAGGGGGTGGTCACATGGGCCGCGGCCCATGGCGGCAAATTTTGCAATTTTTTTAAATGTAGCTATAAAGAAAAATTGGATTCAGAAAATATAAAATTACGAACGAGAAAAGGTGACAAAATCACTCATTTCCTGAGAGTATATCTCTAATATTGTCGTCCTTCTGTGTTACAATAGACAGCACCTTCAATTAGTCGAGTTAAGACTAAGAGAGAAACTGAACACGGAATTTGGCCTGGAACGGCGCGGCGCTGAGAGCAATGATGACGAGAACGTGAGATGAAAAGGAGAAACCATCGGCGCAGCGGTCGGTATGTAACACATTTTAGCGCCTACAAGACTGCATGAATACCTCACGCATTGCGCCAAAGACGATGCGGTCGCTGCGGCCAGCAGCGGGCAGCGTGAAACGCATAGCGCCTACACGACTGCATGAATACTTCACGCATTGTGTCAAACGCAGTGCGTACAGCAGCGGTCGGCCCGAAACGCATAGCGCATGCAAGACTGTAGGAATAATTCACGCATTGCGCCAAACACAGTGCGATCAGCGCGGCGCGGCGGCGGAAGTTAAAATTATTAAACCACATTTATGTTTGTTCTTTCATAATATTTTGGTTCATTTCTTATTAATGGAACGCCTTGTCCATACAGAGATAGGTTTACGGAACTTAACTTTCGCGCAAAGTTTCGTGAACTTTTGCAAGTAGTGTTGACAGGGCTTTCGCAAAAAATGTGACCAACACTAGTAAACGCGTCTTATACACCTTTCCCCCTCCGGCACGTTCACCTGATGGTTTTTATTAGTGTTTCAAAACGAATGAGAAGGCGGCAAAATACAGGCGGCCCATGGGCGTCAAGTAAAGTAAATCCGGCCCTGGTGAGATTAGATCATATGGCAAGAATGGTACTTAAGTAGGTATGTGAGTAAGCAGGGCGAGAGAATTTGTTGAAAAGCGTTGAGATTTACCTACCTAATCATCTAATCGCTGCAAATTTTAAAAAAAATTAATCTGACATTAGCCTCTGAGATCGGAGAGAAGGAAGAAAAAAAGAAGTGTTTTCATGTTTGCGACACACGCACGTGCGCGCACCAAAAAAAATAAATAAATAAATAAAATAAAATGAAAACTAAAAATCATAAAAATAAAAATAAAAATAAAAATTAGGGGTGTCTAGAATTTAATATAAGTGTTGCAGAGTATGATTGGAAAAAATTAATCAGCACCGCGTCAAGCAGAAAGGAACCAAGCCACATCAGCTATTGTCAGATTTAATACTGGGCAATTTAATTTTTTACACGAAAACGATTCTGCGGATTTTCGTGCAAATTCCAGCGAATTTTCTGCGTAGTACGAAGGAAATTCCTTACACCTTTCAAAGGAGTCCGCAAAAACGTTTTCATGTAAAATAATAAATTGCCCAGTAAAATTTGGCAATATCTGATGTGGCTTGGTTCCTCTCTGCCAAAGTCAGTACAAATGAGAGTGAATGAGTGTGTCCACCCAGTGGGATTTGAAACTTGAATTGGACTACATTTTGCAATTTGGAACTATAAATTCTAGCCCGGTTTAAAAACAACGTATGTATGCCATTAGTTTCCCTATGCACATAAGCGTTTTTCCAGAAGAGCCAAAATTTATAGTTCCAAATTGCAAAATGCAGTTCAATTTTGGTTGAATTTCTGAGGCACGCTTGTGAAATTTTACTCATGACGACCGGAGAGTTGGATGCGCATGTCTCGGAAGATCCTAATCGGAGATCACGTCGGGTTTCCTCGATGAAGAACGCACGATGCAAGGCAAGCGAGTGCTCGAGTCCGCGAATTAAAGATGCGGAAGGTTAAATGGACAATATACCGGAGATACAAGCTTGCATCAATTTTGTATGCGAGTAGGAGTTCTTTACCATCAAAAATAAAATTCTTCTCTGCGGAGGGTAGGGATTCGATCGACATGAATCGATCGAAAAATGAAAACGTGAGTCGATCGACATGAATTAATCGACACACCGATTCGATCGACAGTTAATTTAAAAACACCCGTGTTGATTCGATAGACATGAATGGATCGAAAAACGAAAACGTGAGTCGGTCGACGTGAATCAATCGACACCGATTTCGTCGACAAAATTCGATTGATTCACGGGCTTGTCGATCGACTCACGGATTTGTCGATCGATTCACGGGTTTGTCGATCGATTCACGGCTTTTGTCGATCGACTCACGGCTTTTGCCGATCCGTTCACGAGTTTGTCGATCCAACCACAGGCACGTCGACCGATTCACGGGTTTGTCGATCGAATCGGTGTCGATCGATTCATGTCGATCGGTTCACGTTTTCATTTTTCGATCGATTCATGTCGATCGATTCATGTCGATCGATTCATGTCGATCGAATCGACACCGGTTTTTTTAATAGTTTGTCGATCGATTCACGTCAATCGATACACACGTTTATTTTATGATCGATTCTTGTCGATTGAATCCATACCCTCCCTCTACTGCAGTTCAGTATCAATGGCTAAGCCCGGAGATCCATGCCCGCATTTACGGGGTGAGAAGGGGTAGAGGCCACAAATTACGTACGGAGAGAGGAAGGGGGAAAAGGGGGTTTTAATTTTTTTTTTTTTTTTAATTATGTCATACAGGTAATAAGACCGGACGAAAATTGGGGCAAATTTATTTCGTAGCTTGTATCAGTTTTTGACAGTTTTCCGGGGGAGGGAGGAATCCCTCCGCACCCCTATTTATACGGAATCTTCCTAGCTGGAACCAAAACCAGCACGGTGGCAGTATGAAATTCTCGTTACCCCAGGGCGGCAAACTTCAAATCTGAGCGTGGGCGTGGAAACGACGTATCTCATTTGCGATGTTCCAAAGCTTTGGTTTGCATTTTATTCCTCTTTCGAAGGGAAACAAGGCAACTCAATTTTTTGACATTTTTCAGGGAATATAAATAATGCTTTAAACAGAGCAGAGGAATCATGCAAATTTTTCACGCATACGTCATGCAGAGTTCTAATTCAAGAGATTAAACATGGTCAAAAATCAACCACTCCGCAAAGCAAGATACGTGGTTTCTGAGTTTAGCCAGCAATGAATACCCCTGCCGGCCGCGCACTGGGCGCAAACTATCTGCTTCTATCCGTTATGGATCGTTTATAAGTACTTTTACGCTCTTTTTCCCATTTTCAACTCCCCCTTCTCCCCTCCCCACTCTTCCCTCCTCCGCCTCCCTGCATGAAGCCGTGCGCCCTTAAATGTCTCCAATGTGCTAATTGTATGAGATCAGAAGGAATGGAACTTGCGGTGGAAGCTCCCAATTTTTCTTACAGCGAAAAATCGCAACTTAAGTGAAAATTATCTACTCTCTATTCTTGGTACTAGGGTGATGACTTTCCAACACCCTCAAGAACATACTGGGTTAACATCTCCAGTAATAATACAATTATTTTGAAATGAAGCATGAATAAAACTGGCACCAGGGTCGGACCTATCTTGTTTGAGCTGACAATGAGCGGTAGGTATCAGTCAAGGTATCAGTTATCTGCTCACACATGAAGGCAGAGTTATGATAACTTTTTTTTTTAATGAACGTTGAATTCATGGGTATGTTTGACTTCAGCTAACATTTTGAAGAATAATGATCAGAGGTTCCGAACACAAATGGGTGCTGAAATCTTATCACAGTGAAATTTTCTCAAAACTAGGACTGGGTTTCCCCCTATCTTTTGCCTTAAAAAGTGTTATCGAACCTTGGAATACTCCCTTAAAAAGAGTTAATATTTTCCGAATTCTTGGCAAATTCGTGCATTAGGTACAGGATGCAGAATTGACCAGATCATAATTGTGTTCCTTTTGAGAATATTAATTTTTTGATCCAGCGATGTGCAGTCGCTTTGTAATAAGAACTGTTGGGCTTAATCCATGTAAATTTCAGTTCGCCTTCAATTTGCTACGCGACAATTGTTGTTCTTGGCAAGGTATGCAGAGCGTGTACGCCAATCGATGCTGATCGGTAGCTGTAAGTGCGACACTATGTATCTTTGGATCTTTCACTATGGATTCGTTTTAGACTTTTTCAAAAGTTCCGAAAAATACAAAAGATCCGGATAATCTCGGTAATTTCAAAAGCTCCGGAAAAAATTCAGGAAAATCTCAAAAGGTCCGTGTAACTATAGTATACATCGAGAAATGGGAGCATTGCCTAATCGCTAGAATGAAGGAGCACCTCCGCAAGTTGCTTCGTTAATTTTTCTTTCTCCACGTCTCCTTGTTTTATTATGCCAGCATTTTGAGGCCGTTATTAGAGCAGATCGGAAAAGCTACACAAGTTGCTGGCAGCGACACCCAGATAATTCGCCGCACTGTGAAGGTTTTCGGCAAGAGAGAGAACCAATTACTTAATGAGCCCAACTCGGGCCCTGACTTTAACATCCCTCTGTAGGACCCAATGCGACAGTTCTGCGGTTATGAGACGTAGCGCCCAACCACTTCTGGATGGGTTGCTCGTTATTTTTTTTTCTTTCCCCTTTCGACCCCGCGCCGCTCTCACAGCTCCACATCTCAATCAATACCATCCATGTGCCGAAGAAAGCGCCCCGGGCCAAATTACAATGAATATTACACATCCGTCGGTGGCTGGTTGCCGGAATCGAATACCTATCTCGATTGCAGTGTTTCTAAATTTCCGTCGGAATCTCAATTTTTCGATAGAAAATGATTCAAATACTGCTGAAAATTTTCACCGAATATTTCACAAAATGGCCGCGTTTAGCAAAAAGGAACCGAGCCACATCAGATATTGCCAAATTTAACTGTTCATACGGTGTTTTAACTTAGCAGGGCAGTACGTTCCACACGGCCGGATGGGCGCTAAAATGAGAGGGAAATGAGGAGAGAAAAAATAGTGAGTAACGATGAGTATCGAATTTTCCGAAGAACACGAACAGCAAGACATTCGAGAACATATAGTCATACCACTGCATGCTTTGACTGAGTCAATGAACGATGTGCGATTCTGTTGGCAGACATCGTCCACTTGGAGTTCGCCTTCAATTGCACCGCATAGGCAACAATTATGCCATGAAGCGCGAATCGTAGTTATCTATTCGAAAAAACACACTTATCTATCGCTCGATTGACCCGATAAACGAGGTTGCCTTCCTGATTGGTACAGTACCTATGGTAGGTATTGTCTATGTAAATTTCGCCTGAAATTTTTTTACATAGGCAACAATCATACCCGGGAGCGCACATAAATATCATACCCAACAACAATGTAATATTAGTCTCATCTGCTTGAGTCCCGCCTTCAATATCGCCGCATAGACAAAAAACATACTGCAGAGCGCAAGTAAAACATGTCTACTATTCGAAAAATACACATTTCGATCGCTACATGAGCTTCGATTGAACCAATGACATATTGACGTCATCGGCCGGAGTACCATGTTAATTTACTTCACCATATTTATCCAGCAATGTCGATTAAACGGTTTTAATATTTAAATAATTGTGTTTTAATGTATTCAAATGTAATTCACTGGGGGAAAAACCTGGGATTTTCGAAGTCGTGGTAAGCAGAAAGTACCCTTCCAGACCGGGGGGAGGGGGAGGGGGTGGTTGTGTTCCTCCTCCCTTATTCTCGAGGTAATTTGGATGAGCTCCCCTCGTAATTATTGTCGAAGAACATTTTTACACATGATCGCACAGACGCTGTCATGTAAAAAATAATCAGCTGGCTGAAATTTTGAAACTTTGCAGTAAGTTTAAGTAAGACACACTTTCGCGGAGAATGAAGGATGTTGAAGATAACATGCCATCCATATCAGGTTATTAACAATCGAAGCAAATGGAAATCGACTTACAATTTGCCGAGGCGGATCGCAAATTCCCGAGTCGTTTGATTTAAGCACGAGTGCCTGAATTCCAACGAATGGGTGAAGGGGGAAGGCTGCCGAAGAAGATGCTTGATTGGGTTCCTCCTGGGAGGAGACGAAGGTGAAGGGATGCCCAGTGAAAGGGTGGCGATAGGGAGTTTTAGAAGAAATGAGGGAGTGCTAACTCCTTGAAGGGCTTGGGGAAGATAGGGGACTTTGGCAGCTTGGTTTCGCAGAGCGCCAAAGAGCGCTATGAAAGTGGCATATCGACGGTGAAACTACCAAACCACGTATCTCGTTTGCGGTGTTTAAAAATCTCCGCTCACATTTTATTTTTTTGAAGTAGACCAAATCAATATCATTCCTTGAAATTTTCACGGAATTTTCTCCGCACAAAGAGGAAAAATCACAGAAATTTTCAAGACTGGATGTTAAGTAGTTTTTCATTTAAAAAATAAAGTATGACAGGAAGTCTGCGACGTCGCAAACCGAGATACGTGGTTTGGTAGTTTCACCGTCGATATGTAGATTCAAATCTCGTCACCTTCCAGCCAAAGTATCACAAGTACCATGGGACGTATAAAAGTTTCGGTAGTATTTTTTTACCGAGATTATGTTCAACACAGCTGTTCGAAAATTTCACTAACTTTTCTTTATGCTGCCGATAAAATTCAGTTTTTTTTTACAAATTTTCAAAACCGATTCGACCAAAAATTTCTCAGAGAAAAAGTAAAATGGCGCGAAAATTTTGGAACGTCGCGTGGCGCCTGTAATACTTTGGCCGGAAGGTCGATCCATGCTCATTAGTGTTAAAATCAGAACCTGAGGGGCAAGGGAGCCGTTTTGATTTTGAAAAAGTACACCTCATCAACGTGAAAGCATGTGATGCTTAATTCAAATTTATATGAGATTTTATTCGTACAAAGGCTGCTAAAGTCGTCATTAAGAAGGCTGTGACATTTAATGGTCAGCCAAAATGAAATTAAATGAAGTTAAAAATGGATAAATGAGCTGGCTCGCTGCCTCGCCGACAGAATGATGAACAAACAAAACGCCTTCAATTGGTGTGCACGCAGCATCTTCTACAATTGGATGTTGCCTAATCTTTGATCAAAAACTTGTCATGTTCGCATCTCAATGGATTTTACAGTTTTTGTGTTCCCTCATCCTTTCCTCTATTATTTTTTTTTTTCAAAGTAACCTTGGATATCTAAAGTTTAGCTCTGAAACTCAAAACCTGAAGAACTTGCCTCAAAGAGTCAAATTTGTCAAAATGGCCACGTATTTCCAGAATTTTTTTGCGGAACCGAACCAGATTCCGCTCCGTCCGTATCTTCATCGCAGTCCGCAGTTCCACTCCAGTGTTCCGCCAATGTTCCGCTGTGTCAGACAGAGGTAAACAATCAGCTGACGGCCATTATTATTATTTTACACTGTGTTTTGCTTCGTTCCGAGACGGAGAACTCTTTGATTCGGAGGTGACCGTAACTTCTAGCCACGTATAATTCTATTTGCGTTTAGTTTTTTGTGAAAGTTCAGGAAGTTTCGTACAAGATGACTGTCATTACGAAACCCATCAGTGGAAGTAAATCGGATAAACTTCAGGATCCTCTGGTTGTGAACGAGCAGTTGGTGAGTGAGATGACCCGTTCTAGAAACTTTCACATACTTCTGATTATTGTCACCTCTTGCTTACATCTTTACAGTTTTCCTCAGAATTCTTCCATTTCGTATGTTATTACATGATTAAAAGCTTCTCTCTAACGCTTCCTTCATTAGGCTCCCTAGCGCTTCCTAATCTCTCCTCATGCGAGATTATCATGCAAGGTGTTCCGGGGAGCCAGTTGCACCCATGGTCAGGGTTTTTTAGTTGTAATTCTATAGAATTTCTCCAGTGTTTTTGCTCACTGAATACCCTTATCGTTTGTGCTGGGTTAGAAGATACTTTACACTGGCCAAGCCTACCCATCAACGTCTGCATTAACTAGCCCTATCTTCATAAGGTTATACGATCGTATTACGATTTAGAACAACCTAGCTGTATGTAGTTTCTTGAACGGTTGCACAATTTGAATGTCTATCACAACAAGCTTGATCAATCATTGAATTTTGTCCAATTGACTTGCGTCAAAAGCCAATTACCATTGTTTCTATCATGAATTGAGCACTCGCATTCATGAGCATCACATCTTTGTTGTGAACAATTATTTAAGAAACAACATAAGTTGAAAACGATTTGTTGTAAATCAATGAGTGAGTTACAATGCTCTTCAAATACAAGCCACTGCAAAGGCTGGTTCACTCCTTTCAAATTGTGGTGAAACAAAGGGTAACATTCATGTATTGCGCAATAATTCATCAACCCACACATAACTACCTACATGTTTACTTGTTTTAAATTATCATGAGCGGCATATTTAGTGATCACATACTTCTTCTGATTATTGTCACCTCTTGCTTATTTCTTTTACGCCTTTCCTCCGAATTCTTCCATTTTGTACGTTATTACACAATTAAAAGCTTCTCTCAAACGCCTCCTTCATTAGACTTCATAGCGTTTTCCAAACATATAAGTCAGGATGTTTCACTCAGAATTGATTATTTCAAATGAATTTATATGAGGAGAAAACATGTCTCTAACTTGGGAGACCTGCCACTGCTGTCTAGCTAATATCCATTTATCATACCCATCCTGAAGTACTTAATGTAAGTAGTAGTCACTTAGATTCTCGGAAATGCGAAATATGCGTATAGCAGATCTACTATCAACCCAACTATTTAATTCTCTTTCCTATGTAAAAATATGTTTCTCTTTCCTATGTTTCCTTGTGGATGTTTTTTGTGGTTAGAATGAAAAAGCAGATTAATTCATAGAAAGTTAAAGTGCGCCAAAAAAGTTGTCAAATTTTAGTCAGGGCGTAATTGGAGTGCTGGGTGCAACAAGGGCATTTCTTGGTTGCGGTGTTGCAGAATCTCCACTAACGTTTCGTCCATTAAAATTAAAACAAATTGTATGGAATTTGTTGCAATTTTTACTGAATTTTCTTCATACTTTTCCAATGCTGAAAATGAAAAATTCCAGAAAATTCACTATAAAGTCTCCTCTCTAAAATATTAGTTTGCAGTGAAGATTTTTAGACACCGTAACCAAGAAATGCCCTTTCTGCATCCAAAGCCTCAACTTTTACTTTACTTTACTTATTGCAAAAATGGCCTAAAAATGATCGAAAGCTCAGAGAGCATATATCCTAGGTATCTGTTTGAATTAGGTAGGAACATTTTTTTCTAAACTCTTGAGTTTACATCAAGAAATGCCTTGATGTGCTAAAATTTAAACTTTGTATACCTCGCTCACAATCAGCTTTGAATTCTAACTAAAAATGACAACAAAGGTTTTTCTCATAACGAAGTTTCGTAATAATGAACCACGTTTCACTGAACTCGCCTGGCTCCCGAGGAAAAATTTTTGAGAGGCTATCACCTCGCCGGTAGGAGGGACTTGCATAGCTTTTCTCGACTCCTCAAAGCGAAGAGAATGCTTTTTCTGTTGTAGCAACGACGCGACGCGCTCACACGAAGCAATCTGTGCCGTAAATCCTTTCTTCGGCATTAATCTGAAAACCGGTCTGTTTAAGGCGTCGGCATGCAGCGATGCGCATATAATGACTCTTAAAAGCGCATAATTGACGCGAATAGTGAAGAGGCCGCAGAACGACCTTAACCTAACCACCGATCCCATCGATAAGACTTATTTTCATCGCTTTACACTGCGCCGTGCTAAGGAAGAACGCCGTATGAACCTTCAGGCGTTGCCAAATTTCCTTTGATAAAACAAGAACCCCCTGGTAAACTTTTGAATATTTTTCTTCCAATTTTTCAGATAATTTTGTTCGTAATTTCACCTTAAATTCCTAAGAATTTCAAGGAAAAATATTCATAACTTTCCTCAAAAATAAACATTGTACCGAAGGAAATTTGGCAACTCTCGAATGTTCGTACGGCGTTCTTCCTTAGCACGGCAGTACAGTACTCTGTAAAGAGTCTTTCATCAAAAGGATTCTACTATGCTAAGGGTGTCTGAAGGCAGGCTGTCTACAAGTCCGGAAATAGTACTGATTTTCTAAGGGCGGTCCGGAAGTACTGAAAAAGTGCGGAAATTCCGCTTAGAGGTCCGGAATTTTTTTCATTTTTTTGTTATTTTTGCAATTTTAGCTAGAAATTCAAATTTTTGGAATTTCGTCAAATAAAGGTGCTAAGAAAGTACTGAATTTCTCGGAAATGTACCGGAAAAGTGCTGTGAAAGTTCTGATTTTTGGCCAACCTGTTTTAGTAGACACCCTGCTAATGAATTTAAACAATTTAGGAGAATTCAGGACCCGGGAGTGAGGGAATCGTCTGGAAATCAGGGGCGTTGAGGGTAAATGGACGTCCACGCCAATAGCAAATTTGTCGTCTCCTGCCCCCGCCGTTGGTTCCTCGAAAAGGGGAAGAAGACGAGAGTGAAGGAAAGTAAGGAAGAAGATAGTATAGGAAGACGAAGAAGAAATTATGATTAAATAAAAGAAACGCGAGAAAATTTGACGCCCCACGCGTTTTGCTTTTTGTGCTCATTCACGATGGGCTCGCTGGAAATTTGCTTCTTAAGTTTGGAAAAAAAACTTTAATAAGTTACGCAACAGTGGTTCAGTTATTCACGTTGTTAAGCGGTCTTGACCTTGACTTTGTACATTTGTCGTTTCTGGTTTTGTGATCGCTAGGTTTCGACGTACTCGTGGTATGGCAGCCTTTAAATGTAGAATTTTGATTTTCCGTAGCAAAACGGAACTTCAAGAGATTATTTTCTGCCAAACAATCCTCGGATATTGTAAAAAAAGGCATTTGTTAAAGTGAAAATAAACATGATAACGCCTAGTTGTTCTAAAACAACTTAAGTACATCATTTTTGGAAAAGCTGAATTTCTTTTGCAGGAAATTTTTTTAGAATAGAATTTCAAAATCTGCTAATCGCCACCAATTGTTGCCAAAAACGTTCAACATTTTTCTCTCTGCAAAAGCACTTTAATGGTCTTGCGCCCTCGCCCCGCAATTTTTACAGGCTCCCGCAAGTTTGCTCTTAATTTCACGAACAGGATGTTGTTCTCTCTGAGGGCACTATTTTCTCGTTTAATCTTAGAAATAGTTGCATGATCTTAGCAACATTTGATGCCACTCGCCAGGTTTTACATTTCCATTCTTCATTTTACGGAAGATCTCTTTTATACAAACAATAATTTTTTCCCTGGAAGGATTTTACAGAAAAGCTCCAATCCTTAGTTTGAATGATAGGCTTCATCCGTGTTAGCAGAATTGGCGGAAAAGAAGAGGAATAATTGGAAGTTTCGTCGAATCGATCATTGTGCCGGGGTCTGGGAGGGGTTGTGACCGGGATGGTGGAGGGGGGGGGGGGGGGGGGGGGGGGGCAGAAAAAAGCTGACGCAGAGCAGGAAACTTCCTGGAAATCAAAGCTCGAAAAATATTCTGGATAAACAGAGAGTCAGACGATAAGGGAGTAATAATTGTCCGCAGTCTCACCAGAAATTCTGCCGTGCTAAGGAAAAATGCCGTATCAACATGCAGACGCTGCCTTATTGCCTCTGATAAAGTAAGGATGTCTGAAAATGTTGAGACATTCTTCCTTCGAATTTTTCGCAGAACATTATCCCTGAAATGTAGCGTGTCTCAGAATGCTGAGGGAAGAAACGCTGAATTTTCCTCAAAAAAATTCGAATCGGAAGTAACTTTGCAACATTCTGATGCCAGTAATGAAATACGTATTTCATTTTAGAAGAAAAATTCGAATTTTGTCCTATTGAAATGTTATCTAATGTGTTTGAAAATTTGGGGGGAAAACACTCTTTTAACTTTGCTCAAAGTTTTATCGGAGGCAATTTGGTGGCATTTTTCAGGGTTGCAAGTTTCTCCGCATTTTAAAATCTCCCGGCTTTCCATGGACTTCGGTGAAAAAATTTGCTGACTTTCCCCTGACTTTCGGCGTGTAATATGCTGTTTCACGAGACGCTACTTATTGTTAGGACAAAGTTCAAGCTCTGCCGATCTGAAACAGCTGTGTCATGTTTCTACATGGTGAAGTTTGGACAAATTGGAAACAGATTTTGATAGCGAAACTTCTCGCCTTTCCACGGTTGGGTAAAATTTTCCGTCTTTTCAAGGTTTTCCTTGTAGGCTCGTCCCGCTGCTTTCTAGCTCGTCAAAGCACAAGGATGCCGTTCCGACGCATATACACTCGGATCTTGTAAATAAAAGGAGGGGAATAAAATAGAGAAAAAAAGAATGAAGGAAAGGTTTTTGAAACGATTTCCTTGGAACTCGGCGTACGAGTCAGAAATCGATTAGAGGCGGAAAGATTCGAGAGGGATGCTTCGAAAAAGCGCGGGTATCCCTAACAGCTGGAAAATCAAGGAAAGTCGGGGAATTCGCGACGACCAGGCAAAGTCAGGGAATTTGTGGGAAAAGTCGGGGAATTTCTGAAACATTTACTTATCAGTGAAACGTTTCACTGATCTTCCAACTGTCTATCCTTCTGGTTATTTTTAAGGCTCGTAATCTTTTGAAGTAGCCTCCACGTTGGCCTT